CCAGTGACACAAATGCCAATTAATGGAACTCTGGGCCCTGTTGACACAAAACTTTTGCACACAGGACCGAAACATGGGGCTCCATGTCAAGGTGGCCCAGGACAAGAGGGGGATCGTACCAAACATCAGCAGTATACAGCAGACCTGGAAGGGAAACAAGTTGACCCGTCATGTCTACACCGTTGAAGGGCTTGCTACCAGTATGAAACTGAAGAACCCGACGCATCCCTATCAGCAAGGAGGCAGCCCTCCGGGATACGTGTGCTGGCAACAGGAGACAGGCCGTGATGTCAGGTCGCTGATGTTTGCAAGTATGATAATGAGCAAGCTGAGACTGAAGTTCTTGAAATGAGGAGGGGGAAAACCAAATGGTATGCCCACCCAAGTTGATAGAGGTTAAGCACCGTGGAATAGCAAACAGATTACAGTGCTCATCAAAACCAGGACGAGCAGTACAAGCATTAAACGAAAAACACCACCCATCGGCTTCTCAACTTGGTCCAACATGGCCGGTAAAACACATCAGACAGCATGTCCAACTGGGCAGATTACAGGCACCGTTCGGGTTCGTATCCCAGGGAGAACTTCCCTGACACTGCCCTGGGCAACCCCCTATTTGTCCCCGTTCCTAGCTTTCTTCTCTGGATTCAACGGGCACTCCACCACAAGGTGTTTGTCCTCCCCACAGTGGAGGCAACGGCCATTTTTCTGGCAGTAATCATACTCCACCCGAGTGCAGTAATCATACTCCGCCCGGGTAAAACTTAGTCATCCATGCTGCCGGATTCGGATCCCGGCCACGCTTGCCTAGCACCTCATCTCCGTTCCCGCAGCAGCGGCCCTGGGCCGACCCTTGTCCCTATGCTTGCCACCCCGACCCCTGCAACCACGGTTCGACTCACCAGCACCGGAGGCCTGGCGAGCTGTATTCCGCCCAGCGGCAGCAGTAGTAGCAGCCAGAGGCCTGACCTCCGGTGCCGGGAGGTCCCCGTCGTCACTGATGATGGGTGCGGGATCCTGCACAGCGGTGGAAGCATGCAGAAGCACTCGGGTTTGGGTTTGAGAACGAAGTTTAGCATGTTGACGGGCCTCAACACCAAGCGTGTGCTGTACAAGTTTTGCATATTCCTGAAAAGGTTTACATTCTTACATTCTCCTGAAAAGTCAGTGGAAAGGCCGCGGATAAACCAGGAAATCCGGTCAGCCTCCCTTAAGTCAGGAATTGGTGCTATACTTGCCTCGAAACGACTATGGTACGCGGCGACCGTTTCGTTCGCCAGCATCTGATGCTGCCCTGCAGCAAGTTTTTCTAGTGCCTCCAGTTCGCGCATTTGGATCTGCGGGGCAAAACGAATTAACACTGCCTCCAAAAGATTCTCTGAAGTATATTGCAACCGCGCGTTAGTCCAGTCATCATGCCAGGTTTTCGCGGCGCCTTTAAGAGCATTAGCTAAAAACAGGCAACGTATATGTCATGGTTAGGGTTGGTCGGAAGTTTAGGTTTAGAAAATAATTTAGATGCCATCTAATTAGATTTCTATATAGATTTTAGATGAGGCCATCTAAACCCTTTAGGCGGGCATCTAAACGTATCTAGTCCATCTAATGCCTATCTAAAGGCCGGTGACCAGACCGGATCCAGACCGTTCAAACGTGAGTCATGGCACGCGAAACAGCTATGTTGAAGGTAACTTTAGTGTCATATCCTTGCTCCGCTCTATTACATACACAAATAGTCTATTTGTCGCCAGTCGAACAGGCCGGCAGAACAGAGCCCGACAGCTTTGCATCCCAATGCGGGCGTGTCCCGCATGTTGGCATGTGTACTTTGGTGGTTCCGTTTGCGGTTGGGCCGACGGTTGGGCCGCGGGGCGCCTAATTACACCCCGTGGCGCCATCCGACACGCGTCTGTAGAGCGCCCATAGGGGTTCGCCGTGTTCCCAGTGTCGAGCGGCCCAAAAAATTAATGGAAAATCCAGGAAAAGATAAAGCCGCATCGTGTGCAAAATTTCAGGTCAAAATTTCACCGTTTAGGCAGTTTTCCGTTTGGCCATCTAAAGATTTACCTAATTAGATTAGGTATCTAATTAGACTTCTAATTAGATACTTTTTCCATCTAAAGATTTTGCCAACCCTAGTCATGGTTTCCGCCTCGCACGAAATCAAAATATTTCCGGACATCACGGACGAAGGCGCGTACACGTGGCGCAACTTTCCGCGATAAGTCGCTAAGCTTAATATTGAAATTTCGTCGCTGACACCCATTCACAAAAAAGGGGACGTTCAGGACATGGGCAATTACAGGGGATTAGCTGTGGGAGGGACGCTATCCAAACTGTATGCCATGCTTCTGGAGCGGAGGATTAATGCTTGGGGAGAAGCGTCGGGTGCACGTTCACCCTTTCAGGGAGGATTTCGTAAAAATCGAGGTACGTGCCACAATCTGTTTGTTCTGAGGCATCTGACAGATAAGTCTAAGAGGGTGGGTGGCAAACCGCTCTTTGTGTGTCAACTTGACACACAAAGTCAAGTTGACTTTGAAAAACCTTTTGACAAAGTTCCAAGTGAACTGCTTTGGCTTAGGTTGGAAGAAAGAGGTGTGAGAGGTGCCACTTTGGAGGCTCTGAAGGCCGGTTATAGGCGTGTGGAGCTCAAGGTCAACGTGGACGGGGGTCTAGGAGATTCGTTTTTCTCGTTTCAGGGGGTTAAGCAGGGATGTCCTTTAAGTCCAACACTCTACGGCATATTTGGGGAAGGGTTTGCGGATTATGTAGAAGCTAAGGACAGGCTTGCACCAGATGCTACGGCTGCTTCTGATTGCCCCATGAGCGACAGAATGTGTATCCCTTTGCTGTTGTATGCTGACGACCTTAGTCTTTTTGCTGGGTCGCACAGGCGATTAATGGCATTGTTGCGTGGGCCAAAGGAATGGTGCGAAGCTTTTGGCATGAGTGTAAATGTGGGAAAGTGTGAGGTGTTGTATTTTCATCGGGACCTGGAGGCATGTAAGGCTATGCACGTTTTGGGTTCGTACGGGCTTGTTACCATGAGTGTGAGGGAGGCTACGGGACACGCGCTCAAGAGTTTACCTTGGAAGGAGCGTGCACGATATTTGGGCCTGCATTATGGACCGGGTACAACTTTCGAATTGTGCACAGATGAGTTGTTTGCATCAGGCCAGAAGGCGCTCTTCTCGCTGGTTAGTAAGCTTAAGCGACAAGGGCTTTTTGTTCCAGCTGTGCAAGCGTTTGATGCCCAGGTTTTGTCTATTCTGTCGTACGGGGTACAGGTTTGGGGCCCGTTAAGGGTTCTGGACATCCTGAAGCACGGTTACCCTAGCAGCCAGGAACCACGATCGTGTTACTTAGAGATTGCACTGCAGGACAGGATGGTGGAACTGCAGAAGAACTTCCTGAAGCAGTTGAGTGGTGCTGGCTTGCCAACAAATCGGCTACTATTCAGAGAGTTGGGTCAATACCCTTTGCAAGTGCATTGGGCAAATCTGATTTTTCGTTTTTGGAACAGGTTGGTTGAGGCAAAAGGTTCTGTGTACCACCATTGTTTTCGGGAGGAACTGCGGTTGGCATTATCATCTGGCATGACGTATGATGGATGGGGAGCGAAAGTCCTGAAGATCCTTGAGTTGATGGGTCACAACGTGCGGACGGGTGTGGACGACTCAGGTGACATTGAGGTTTAAGTTGATGCTCTGGCGACACGTTCACTAGATGTAGGCCAGTTGATCTGTGAACTTCGGAGCCGATTTGATGATGACTGGGAAAATGAGCGGTTGACAGTGGATCCAGCTTTGTTTGTTTCAGATAATAGGCAACCAGGGGTGAAGATGTGTCGCTATAAGCATTGGATGGGTTTGCCCAAGCATGGCAGCGGCTATATCTCGCCAAAACAACACGTCACGCTGATGCGTTTCAGGATGTGTGTTTGCCCTTTGGCGGTTAATCGACCGCACGGTAGGGAACGGTCTGCCCGGTGGTGTCGGGTCTGTGGGAACCGGCAAGCTATTGAGGATGAATGTCATGTGCTGCTAGATTGTCCTGCGTATGCGAATATCCGTTTGAAGCTTTGGGACCTGGGGGTTACTCCTGAGGACCGCACGATCGAGATTATGGGCGTCAAGGATCAACGCGGGTTAGCGCACATCCTGGATGACATTAGAAGATGCAGGTTGCAGTACGTTGAAGATTAATCAATCTGTTATTGTTGGGTATTGGCATTTTTCTTTTGAAGTTCTTGTTTCCAGTTCGACGGTTCATGAGCCTTTTGGCTCGTCTGGACCGTACAAGCTTGAAGCTTGTAACAAAAACGTCGTCGAAAAAACATCGTCGTCGAATATCGGCAGAGTTACTAAGCCTAGGTACCGAAATATTTATCCTTATCGCTTCATCACTGACCTCAGCGGGCAAATCGCGCTCGGTAGCGTCGTTGTTCCTTACATCGCCGGCGGTCGTACCGGTGGCGCGACCCGCGATGTGTTCCAATGCAATCGGAACAGCAGATGAGGGATTATTCATATCTATCAATTGATCATTGTTACTCGAGGCAATAGGCGGCGGCGGGACAGTTCCATTGGTCATATTGATAGCGGAGGGCAATCCCCAAAGGAGGGTAGGATCTGGGCTGGAATTAGGGAGGAGCTCTGTCGCAGAATTAGCCTGGATTTTATTCCTGACAAAAGAATTGGTCTGCCGAGGTCTGGAATTGTTCTGGCGGACTCGCCGGAGGTATTCGAATTGCGCTGTGGAGCCTCGGAATTGGGCTGTGCTGGGCCTGAATTGGCCTGTCCGGGTGCCGAATTGGCCTAACAGGGTATTGAATTAGCCTGACAGGGTATCGAATTGACCTGTTCGGGGTGTCAAATTGGCCTGACAGGGCATCGAATTAGCGTGTTCAGGGTGTCGAATTGGCTGTCAAGTTGGCAGGATTGGCTCGGGCTGGCATCCAAAAGCACATGACTTTTAAGGAATTTACAGAAAACTTTGCAAGAGGACCGCTTACAAGTGCCTCATGTGCGTATTAGTTTCGATCCCACGACATGGAGTGGGAAAACTTGCACACCTGGTTACCGTACTCTGGCACTACTACTACTACGGGAGGCAAGCACTCAGGGCCACGACTGCATTACCCAGTCAAGTCAGCCGCCGAGGTCCCACTGTTTTCCCACCACACTTCATCGGCAGTTCGTCCAGTTTATCCCACAACACTCGTATGCATGAATAGGTTCGGGTGGAAACAATGACAAATCTCTGATACACCGCTAAACTCAGTACCACGAGCTACATTAAAAACAAATGAAAATGCAGATGTCTGCCGAGAAGAATGTGTTCACCATATGCAATCTATGCCTTAATCCATCGAGCTCTCCGTTGGGTGGGGCATGGCCCATGAAGTCGCCCCCGGTATTCCGCCCATGCAACCAAACACTGACACAAAACGTTGCACGCCTGGGCCCATGTAAACCACGACACTTCCGTGTGGATTGGCTACCCGCGCTCCCCATGTCAGGGGTCCTCCCTCCTGCTGTTGACTCCCGGATTGCCCACGCACAAACGCCAAACGTTGGCGCAGAAAACAGACAGGCCATTGTAGTATGGCATCAAACCACGCATAACCCACAGCGGCTTTCAGCAGCAGTACTGCTTGGTGAATGCGACCGGCCGTGTACTGCCAGTCTTAGCACCGATGAACCACCCCCTGATGCCGCCGCTGATGCAGCAGGCATATGGGTCTACACCACCGAGCTCTGACCAGTTTGTTTTGAACTCGCCTACACAGGGTTGTAAAACAAGGGGGGCATTTCTGTTGTCATATGGTATGATGTTTCATAGACGTCGGTATGTATAACATTATACAAATTGGGTGGGTGGGGTGAGGGGTTCCTCCTTTCTAGGTTGCCCACTCTTCCCTGCCACACATCTCACGTCGCCACTTACCAGTAGCACCACGCGACTTGACGCGGGGTGGCACATCCTCTGCTTCGGTGATGGCGGCTGGTGCACTCATCGGGACCACAGTTCCGCCGCGTCCTCGACGGTGCCAGTCTCCGCGTCCCTGTGTCCCTGATCCTCCACGGCCCCCTCCGATGCCGTTTTGATCTTGAACAAGAGGGATTTCGCGTCCGAGACGGTAAGGCCCGGTACATTCCCTCTCAGTGCCATGGCGGCGCGAAGCGGGGAGAGCTGGAAATCCTCTGCAATGAAGGACACATTGTCTTTCAAAACACCGTTCGCAAAGTTTCCGGTTGTTCTCGGCACGGGGACATCGCCGCCCCACGTCTCTGGCACGGACTCGCGCTTTTCTCTCTGTGATCAATCTCTCACCTCGGAACAGTTCCCATGCTTCACCAACGGAGTAGACGCCGAGATCTTCTTCGAATTGACGACGCACATCATCCACCCGCTCATCGTCCCCGTCCAGCACATCGTGGAGACACGTCGCGAGAGCCGCGACATCAGACTATAGACGCAGCAGAGAATTAAATAAACCCCGAGTGAAGGCGAATGGCTGCAAGTGCACCATGACGCCTTTGCATGGTTGGAAGCCACAAAGCATGAAAAGACATACCGCGTCATTTGGACTTCGTGTCAGCTGGTCTCGAGGGTCTCCATCTTCCGCAGTGTCCTCCAGGGCGACATCTATAGCGGCCATTTACTCGCCACTCCTACCCGAAAGTAACCTATCTTCTATGTAATCAACGCTAAACGCTGAAGTTGGGTAGGTATGTAATACTATTGTAAGATTATCGACTGTGACATGCTTGCAACCCATACCTACATGCGCACCAAACTCTTGTTGTACGGAAGCGTGGTGTATGCATTAATGCATGACAGTGCGCGGCGCTAGAAGTGCTTTTGGTATACTTATACATCTCTATGCCGTTGTTGTGCAATATCTAAGGCGTGTTCCTTTTAAAAAGCTGAAGGTATTTAGACAGTAGGGAAGCATTTCTAAAAATCTCGGTAAACCATTGCAATAAGTATGCCAGTTTATATTATCACCATAGGTTCTTGTGTCGAACGGTGCTAAATGAACCATGGTGCATGCATGGAAGTATTCGGGGCGGAGAAGTCTCAGGCCTCTGCTATGGAAGTCCTGGAGAAACGTCAGCTTGATTGCAGAGTCTGTGGACGCCAGCACACGATTAACTTGTGTTGCTGTGGCCACCCAGCGCCATGCACAATTTTGTGTTCAGGCGCTTTGTGGCTTCGATGGATCTAGCTGTGGAGTTAAGTATGCGTCCTTCGCAGCCTTCGCACCGGCAGTGTTGGATACGGATGCCGGTATGCCATGTTTTCAGACCTGTTGTCGCAGCGCGGGCTTCGAAGCACGTAGAGGGTAGGACAAACTGTCGGGCAGAGCAATTCTTTTGACTGCCCCGGTCGCACAATTCCCGTGCTTCCCTAATTCGACACCCTGAACACGCTAATTCTGACTGTCCGAATGTCCCTGCCAGGCCAATTCGACACCCACTGTCGGAATGTCCCGCCAGGCTAATTCGGCACCCGGACAGGCCAATTCTGACTGTCGGAATGTCCCTGCCAGGCCAATTCATATCCCTGTCAGGCCAATTCAAGGGCCTGTCCCGGCAATTCAACTTGTCCCAGGTGTCAATTTAAACCCTTCTACCGAGCAATCTAGACCAATTGCAGGGTCTGCCCCCAAACTCTCAGGCACGCATTCAGAATCGCGGGAGTTGAAGGAACTTTACAAAACAAGGGGAGCACTTACAAATATCTCTCGTGTGTTTGTTGGTTTCAAATCCGTACATGCTTGTACGG